CCAGTACAATATGGGTCGCGCGGGCGGTAGATAGTTGATTAAACGGACCTCACTAACGGGATATTTCCCGCAGCATTTTACATTGATTGTGCCAAGTTGGCACTTAAAAAACTATCCTTTTTGAATCTGGTAAATCTAAATGTTTAGAAAATCTGCAAAATTTAAACCAATCAGTTCTGATATTACTTTGAAACAAGGTATTTGATATTTATCCGTTGTTATCGCAATGGTTATTGCTTTGACGTTGATCGCTATAACACGATTAAAATGAGCGGTAATAATTAAGTGGGTAAAGCCCAATAATACATCAGCATCGTATAAGTTCTAAACGCATTCTCTTATCGTTGTTTTAATTTCAGTGCTTTCGTTTATGTTTTTACTGGTTTTACATAGATTCTTGACACGTAAGATTTAACCAACTTCCTTTTGATCTCTTACGTCCCTTTTCCAATTCCTGGCTATCCAACATAGGCATCGATCAATGATTCGATTAGAGTTTGTGTTCCGCCATAGAAATAACCATCAGGAACGTTCAGGATACGTAGAAACAATACATACACTACTATCGTTCTTCAGTCGCCGAGCAGTGTTGGTCGCAAAAGCCGGCGATTCGCCCCTGGGCTGGTGCTAGTGTCACCGCTCGCATTGCATTTAGCATCAGGCCTGCAGCGCAGGGCGCCGATGTAAATCTGAAATTCGCTTCGGCCGGCGCCGCTTGAATATTATAAAAGAAGGGTATGTCAGAGCTTTATTAGGGAAAATTTGATCCGAAAGAAAAGTTCCGATATGAGACACTATTGATTACGGCACATGTCATATTTTATGACATATTAAATATATTTACTTTATGAATAAAATACCTATAACAAAATATACATAATCATATCAGTAATACATACCTTTTGCAATCGATCATCCTGTGTTTTCTTTGTGCATTAAATAGGTACCTAAATCTACATATGGTCTCAGTCACAATCTGACACATTACACCCAGATGGTAATAAGCTGATAGTTTTACTTATAACTATGTGTTCATAAGTAAATACATACATGCTTTTTGGAGTTCTTCTCTATGTCAAACAGGAATACTACAGTTGAAACTTTGTAAAAGGCAAATCGTATGCCAACTGGCACCTGACAGTTCGCACTTTCAATTTGCAACAGGTTGACCACGAATGACTGACGTGAGACGTGGTTCTGCATCTGACAGTTTGCAACAGGTTGACCACGAATGACTGACGTGGGACGTGGTTCTGCATCTGACAGCCCATATGGTTGACTGATGTGTTTTGCATCGGACAACCCATATGCATGGGTAATTGACGTGTTTTGCATCGGACAAGCCATATGGCTGACTGACGTGTTTTCACATTTGTACGCACTAGATGTCGATCTCTCAAATTCACGCCGCGATTACCATAAATCTTTTTACGATCATCACCAATATATTAATTTGGTACCAAGAGTATATTTCACCAAAGCTTATAAGCCGGAATTTACTCCTTACCATTTATAAGCCGCATGCCCACTATGTATGATTTGATTTGACATAACCTCTGGCCCTATTGGTATATGGTAATTTTAACTTGCAACCAGCCAGATTGTTTGTAGGTAAGATCGATATTATGTGGCCGGTATTGCATCTTTTATCAAATCATGTCTCTAGTTTGTTTATTCCCGGAAAGAATGATACTTTCACTTTGGCAAAATAAGATTAATGACGGTCCATAGGTAAATCACAATATCTTATTATTGAAATAAGCGCGTTCGCAAAACATTTGATTGTCGAAAACAGTTTGAAAGTGATTGTAGCACACGATTGAGAAATTACGACCTTTTGTATACTGAATATCTTTATTAAACGTTGGTGATTATTGCTTATAACTCTGATTTTGTTTTACTGCAAACTTCATTTGTTTGTGAAATAGGTCATTTTACGCGATAATCATGCGCTATTTTCGGGCGATTCTGAGAATGAAAGATAGCAGTCACATAGTTAAATCAATAGCAATATTGGAGCTTTACATTTGTACTAGTGTTATTCTGCAGGCATCGTGAGACACATTTAACGAATTTATCCCCTTCATAAGCCGAATATTGACAAATTGCAACCTTCGATTCTATACTCTTAATTGCATGATGAGACCGTCAACTTCTGAATAAAACCCTTCAATAATCGTAGTACTTTTTGTGAAAGTTTTGTCGAAATGCCCACAAAATGCTTATACCTTTTTTTACAAACATTGATAGCCGGTACGCCATTCTCACGGTGATTCTGTGATAGCAGATAGCAATTTACAGTCGTGGTTTATGATTCTACAAATTTTCTACAAATTTTTGAAATTACAACCAATGACAAACCCTTTTCATGCTTCAAATATTAACGAATCTTACGTTCATTTTTTTATGTTCATATTTTAACCGAATTATCAAACGTTATATCCAATCATAATTAGGGGGAAATTTCATGATTGCTATGAAATACACAACCTTTTTTTACAATCTTTTTGATCAATTAGGTTATATGATTTGTCATCTGAAATTCATTTGGCAGATCTTTATGACCCAGCCGTTATAGTTCATTGGGTGATTAAACATTGTATCGAAATCAAATTGAGTTTTTCCGATAATTTAGGATCTTTCGCGACTGTGACGTTGAATGAACACAATATACTCTACCTTATTGTAATTTGTCGTGAAGGCGTTATAGCTGAGTTACGCTACATATATGTAATCTCATATCTTTATGACTAAGTCCTTTTCTTTGATTGGATGGTTTGATAACATGATTGAACCTAAATCAAATTTTAGTCTCTCAATAATCGAAAATTTCCGCGACTGTTAAGTTGAAAAGTACACACATACTTCACCTCATCCTAATTTGTCACAGAGGACATAATAGCTGATCACGATAAATCAAATCAAATTAAGTCTTCCAATAATTGAAAATTTTCACGACTGTTTGGTTGAGAAGTACACCTGACGCTTCACCGTATCATAATTTGTCAGTTGTCACAAAAGCAATAATAGTTGATTCACGTTAAAGCAAGTGTCATATTCTCATCGCAATTTTGAAAATGGAACGGCGAGCAAAACATTGGAACCCAATACATGCATCATCCGTACATTTAAAGTTCTATGCAATACAAAGGTATAATCCAAATGAATTATTTTAAAGGGAAGGCAATAACTTAACCAAGTATATACATTATTGAGATAAGATCAAAATGAGTTAATGTATTTGAAATGCGCACATTACTGAATTAATCAAATTGGGCCTCCCGATAATCGTAAATAATGTGAACGTTACGTTTGAGATGGGAATTTTCATTTTTCATTGCATGCTAAGTTCAGGCGTATCCTTCACTTTCGCTCAACATAGGTACTCACAATTTACTCAACTTCAGATAGGCATTGTCCATTCAATATCAACATTCTCACAACTCGCATTCCATTTTCATTCTTTCATTCAGCATGCACTCTCCATTCTAGAGATGCATCATTCATTCATTTAACATACTCGCATCAGCTCGAGATACTTTTTCCTTTTCCATTTACACTTAGCGACTAACATTCTGCACTCTCCCTTCTCACAAATATCACTCGTCATTCACACTTAAAGTTTTCATTGTTTCTCATTTTTATTGCAGTCATAGCAAGCTTTTGCCTAACAATTTTGGCTGCTGGTCTGGCTCGATTGTTCCTAGAAGTTCGGATATTGAGCGGAGTAAATTTAATAAATTTAAAATAATGGCACATCAACCGTTCTTTCAAGATTCATTCGATTGTTGCGACTTACTATCAGCCGATCGATTTTTACAATTTATGATTTACAAAATCTCGTACTGAACACGCGCGCTGGATTTACTGTGGGCCGTCTCGCCAAATGCAGTTTAAGTCTTACGTTAGCGTCGTACCCCATACCAAGATCCTATTACTCAGGATTAAATGAAAAACGTTTTTACGACTTACTGTTAGCCGTTTGTTTACACAGTTTAAGATTTACAAAACCACGTACTAACAAGCGCTTCGGAGTTATTACGGCAGGGCGTTTCATTAATGCAGTTTAAGTCTTACGTAATGGCGTGCCTGGCCAACCGGATGAAAAACGTTGTTCACTCGAACTTCACTTGAAAGAACGTTTCCCGGCCGATGAGCACCATTTATGTAGGGGGGGCTCGGGCCGGTCCTTTTGGCCTTTCGCAGCCTCCCCTCTGATTGTATTACTACTACTCTACATGATGTCCGTGTTAGGCTGAGACGTCTCCCAGCCTGTGCCCGACTGCCACTCGGGCCACGTACATCCCAATGTCTAATACTAACTATTTTACGTTAAGTTACAATGCATCGTGGAACCAGTGAGAATCACTCCGCCATTTTGAGGCACACCGCGGTTGGTAGCGCGCCCTTATGGGTTTAGGAGTGAAGCTCCTGGCCATTGATGACTTTACTAATGAACCGATAAAGTTAGACTCCGCTCAATCACCGTTCTCCTCCGACTCATCCCGTTACCAAAAGCATCTGGTCAATTTAACGCCCCTTTTATTGTTCATAATTTCGCAATGTGTTCATAACGGACTGCGCTGATTTAACGTTATCATTTTAGAAGCTATTTCCTACCGCGAACGCAGTGTCTACCCTAACAATACCCTAACGCCACGCATGCTAACCTAACCCTCCACCCGCTTGCTCCTACCTATCTATGGGATGTGCCTTGAGCCCGCACAGCATCCCTGCGTAGTCGGAACCTACCTTCGAGCCAGCTTACCAGCAGCGTGGTTGTGGTCGGGTCCAGCGTTGCAGCCTGGTCGGCGTACAGGCACTGGCCCCGTTCTCACTCCCCGCTGCGATTATATACTCGCCCGAAGGTGGATAAGTCCTGTCACCCGGTCTGAGGCTAAAATCGATCGGGCGACAGTGACTTACGGTTCTGACTACGCTGACCTCGACGTGTTCCTAAATGTCAAAAGGCGAGCGAAAATGAACATACCGCGATACACGAATTTCTAGCGTTACATCGTATATAAACTAAATGTCAAAAGGCGGGCGAAAATAAACGTACCGCGATACACCTTAATAAGCATACCGCGACACACCTTACATAAAGAACATACCGCGATACACGAATTTCTAGCGTTACATTTTATATAAACCAAAAGGCGGGCGAAAATAAACATACCGCGATACACCTTAATAAACATACCGCGACACACCTTACATAAAACATACCGCGATACACCTTAATAAACATACCGCGACACACCTTACAAATCCCGCATTAGTTTTGAGTGCAGCATGATGTATTAAGATGCCTCTTTTCGGCATTGGCTCCATTCTGAGGCACAAAACCCAGCCGGTGCTAGAGCACGAACTGGGCACGTGCCCCCCCCCCCCCCCAAGAAGCCTGTGACGCCTCGCCTCGTGGGACTGACAAAACAAATGTTTGGGGTTGAAAAGTGTGTGTTTGTGAGGGGGCTGAGACCAGTGCCCAAGGATGTGATATTTCACAGTGACCAGAATGCACACACAGCAAGTTCTTATGCGCAGCGGGGTGTTCTAAACGCAAAGCCAGTTTTGAGTTACCACATAGTTGAGATGTTAAAGGTAGACTGTCACCTTTTTTTTACTTACCGGTTTTCGTAAGAGGTGCCCGCCCTCACCACAGATGTCCAGTCCATTTTCCGTTATCCTCACCCTGTAACGCGCAATCGCCTCCCAAAGTTCCATTTGATGCCATCTTTTTCGCCGGTGAAAATGCTCATCACTACGATAGCATGTATGACACTTTTCATTACATTTTGGCATCATAGAGATTCATTGTTATTTTTCTTGAATGTTGTGACAAATTTCGTAATACCAATATTAATTTCAACAGCAAAGACGTACATTTAGCAAATTAATGTTGAAGGTTTCCTAGTATACTAGCATGAAGAAAGGCCGATCTCTTAGCATTGTGAAGGATTTCAGGGAAAGGAAAAACTTTGTCGATTTTAATTAAGAGCATTTTATACAAATTTTAAGGAAAAACTCGTCAACAGGGTTTTATTTATCTTTTCTTATTCACACATATTCAATTCAAAGGCGATAAATTGTTAATTAGCAAATTTGTGGTAGAAGACAATGCTTTTTTTACTTGAAGGGAAGTGGTAAAGGGAAGACCTGAGGTCCGATCTCTTCAACACTAGTGAAGGGAGCAGACCCTATGACAAAGGTAAGTGGTAAAGGATTTTTGGTTTGCTACCATGTTCTGCATGTTTCCACCTCTGTTTCAAACACGACGCGATAAAATTGAAGACTTTTTCGGGGCACGTGTCAAATGTATTGCTAATTCATAGGCGATGCTGAAAGTGGTTTCATCCTCATTTCTGGCTCTCTCTATCGCCTGGATAAAAATAGGCCCCGCCCATCCCAATCAGCTGCTGCATGACGAGTTGATGACGACAACCACTACTTACCAGCAACTAATCTAGGGATAGCGTACGTGACAGTAATGGTGCAGCGGTTGCAAAATATTACATTGTTATTCAAACGGTTTTTGCTTTTAGGGCCTTGTTAGATGAGGATGAGGTTAGATTAGATGAGGTGTTGATGAAGGCAGGTATTTTTTTTAAATATTTTTTTTGACAATTTTTTGCCCTTGTTTTACTTAAGCTGAACCCGGGACCACCTGAAGTCTAAACCTTATTTTATATAACATGTCAATGCTGATGCTGTCTTGAAATGTGAAATTTAGACAATGGTTATAGGAATAATGAATAGCAATTTCACCAACAACATTTTAATCTCTAGGAAGTGCAATTAAAATTAAAATCACTGTCTGCCACACTGCTCCATCCTGGTCATGCAACCAACGTTCATGGGTGGTGTTTCACGGCAGAGCACGCACTGCAGTGCTCAGCACTGCAGTGCGCTGCGTGTGTCAGAGCATTGGGTTTCCATGGCAGTGTCAACAAACTTCACTGTGACGCTAAGCTATGACAGCATCCCAGAACGCTAGCACGCTGCGGTACCAGCACCAGCAGCATGCTAGCAGTATTTGAACTCAAACCTCTGTTCTTGGTACGGTTTTTCAGAACCTCTCACTCTGTTCCAAACGCGATTGATCATAAACTAAGAGATCACATGCAACGTCATTTGAGTGATGCTATGGTATGCCGTAGCTACCAGTGCACACAGTGTCTGGATGGTGAAACAGGGCCATTATTAATCACATTTGCTTTGCTTTGTTTCAGCAGAAACCTGTCTGCACATGGGAGGAGCTCAACAAAAGCCCATCAAGTTCATGCATGGCAGTGGATCTCAACAGGAGAAAACCAGAAAGAACATGGATGCTTGTAGATTGCAGTTGTACACTGCTGTTATCACCTGATGTGCGTGGCTGGCATTGCTCCTGGCAAGAACCACCTGCAAGTGATGAGAATGAGATGGTGCCTCAGTCGTTGAGTGTGCTGCAGTGTGAGAGGCGCCCTGATCTCTACTTTGTGATAGGTTTCCATTGGAGGTTCAACTGAGAAGTGAGAACTGACTGTGACCATGCTTGAGCATGCCAGTGGAGCTTTACATGCTTAGGGCAGCTTTTGAACAGATGCTGACCATGGCATGTCCCATCCAGTTATCACGTGCACAGAATGGTGGGGGGAGGGCAACTCTGGGCTCTTGAGTCAGCCCTACTGCACAGGGGGTACAGATGGCCGCTTACGTTTGGTGTGTCCTGCACTGCATTATCAAGCCCAGTCTGCGCCACAGGCAATGGGTCGGGCTGCACTATATTAAAGGCAGACTATCTTGCAAAGGAGGCTGGCATCCTCTCCCATAATGACACACCAATTGGCAATCATCGCTGCGATGATCACGAGGGTGTCCGCTTATCTAACATGGTGAGGTGGAGAGCCAGTTCAAGCTGGCCTGAGGGATGGTTTTACTTCATCTGAGGCCCCCTTTCCCCGCCTGCCAGGTCCGGTCAAACGACCGCTTCACAGTGAACGACTTGCAGTGGATGCCGTCCCACAGCGCAACGAGCTCGCCGACCAGAGGCGGCGGCCAAGAGGCGGCCGCGCTCCCCCAGTCGACGGTCCCGGTGGACGTCGGCGACGCCCACCGCGCGACCATCAGATCGGCTCGCGACAGCGCCGTCGCCGACTGACCGCATGACTGGTATCTGTTCTTGATGTGGGACCGACTGCCACCGCCGGTCGCGGAAGGGCATCGCTCGTCGGCCATCGACGTCCGCCAGCTTCGCGTGGGTCACTGTTCGGGCTGCCACCAATACACCGAATCGGATGGAACCCTGTCGGCGAATGCCGGCGGTGCCCCGACATCGACTGCGCGGCGGCCAGTGCATCGCGTGCCGGGAGGAGGCTGGCACCCCCGATCGGTCATTGGTCACAAACCGTGTCCCAGCTCATGACTGCATCCAGCGCAGCTCTGTGAGATGTTCTGCAGCTGCTGCAGTCTGCCGCGTGTGTTAGTGAAAGAAGAATGAACATGAGAAAACCTCAAAACTTTATGCCTATTCGCAATTGACCAGTATTGGAATAAGTTTGGATTTTGAGAATTTGTGTCCCTGTGCTTGTGCCTGTGTGGAAAGGCATGCTTTACGGTGTACCATCTCAATGTCAAATCCCGGCTGCGCTGTGCGGATTTGTGCGGCTGCTGACAGGCCACCTGGGTGCCAACGTATGTGCGAATCCGCGAATACGTTGTGTTTCGTCAGTCAGTATCGTTCTGAAAATATTGACTGCAATAGGCTATATAGCGTATGACGGTTCAGCCCAGCAGTAATAACTGACCATTGATTGGGCGAATTTTGTGTGGTGGTTCGCTAATACATAACCTAAAGAGTGTTTTGCCGGAATCGTTTAGTAGCAGAACTGACCGGAATATAAGTAGAATGCAATGGTTTGAATCGTTAATTTGTTGAAACGATTGTTCTCTGAGACCACTGTGTAACTTTTGACCTGAGAATCACCAATTATAACGACAATGGGGAAGCAGTAGGCTGTACTGTAGAGTGTAGGCAACACTATATAGTTGGCACACATACGGAAGCACACGACTTACGCAGTGGACATCTGCATCATGCATGTTAAGGTTTACTGGGAAGAGTGAGAAATTAGTCAGAATATAACTGACTAAGGAAAATAGGCGATATTTCCTATTGAGCTGGGGCGGAGAGGGGGAGGGGACGTGTGGTCAGCTATGCCAATAATTCATTCTCTTTATGCAGCTGTGTAAAAGGGCGTCCGTTTTTGGGTGAGACCTTCCCCATCGGCCATTTCCAAGTTAAATCGTGGTGGAGAGTCTGGAGACCTCAGCCTCGGTAGTCGGTACCCTGCGCGCTGCGCCACCTTGCGAAACATAAAGCAGCAGTCCTGACATCTACAGGCGTGACTTTTCATGAAAGCGCGGATGTGTTCGCGCTTATGCGAAAAAAATGCTTCCGAGTATGGTTGATAATGAGATTAATTGTTGTCATTTATTTATTAATTCATTGGCAAAAGTACCCTAATAAATCGGTAAAATAGCTTGAACTGTATCGTATTTCCTTGGGAAAAAATGACGAACTCATCCTAAGACATCCAGATTATTGGATGCGTTCGTCAGTTGTAAGTAGTTCAAGTTTTTGGGAAAATTTGCTTGTGGAAAATCATAATATTTCAAAGATATGCCTATTTTTGAATAATTTATGCATTCATCTGCATTGAAAAATGATTGTAAAGCAAAAGTGCAAAAGATAATTGTCAACTTATTTTCTCAAATCACAATTTACGAACGCACAAAACTCCAGCTTTTAATTTAGTGCGTGTGCGAATTGCGGTCAAGAAAAAATATTTAAACTGTCTATATTCCTCCTAAAACAATGAAGGATGAATGAGGAAAACGCTGTTTTGAACAATTGTATATTTATTTTTTCTTAATTAAGCAAAAGTACAAAATTTTCAACTTTTATTACATTTGCTCTCACAAAATCCATCACTTTTTAGCATGACGTCATGTCAGCCAAATTTACTAGCGCCATCTCTGGAGAGCATCTTTCGAAACCTCCAGACGATAGAGAGAGCCTCATTTCTACGGTCTCTGTGCGCTAATATTTAATGGTTTTCATCGTGGTAAGTTGATATACAACGGTGCCGGAATCTCTCAAGTAACAAGTAACGGGTGTGCACTTAGTTTTGGAAAAAGATCGATTATCTCTTTTTTGAACTTGAAGTTATAAATACAAATGCTGGCATAGTGAATACCTAATCATGCAATTGAGGATG